AAACAACTCTGGGTTATCAACAACCCTGGGGACTATCAGCAGTCCCAGTGGCTAACAGCACGCCTTGGTGGGTTATCAGCAACCCTGGAGACTATCATCAGTCTCAATCACATATAAACAACATAGCACAATAATAACAACTAGACCCAGCTGGTCATCACAATTACATCTATTCGACCACACAGGCACATACAAACATGCAAGAGTCACAAATACAACTAGCATCCTACATACATAATTTAGTAAGTCGGCATTGGTGCCTTCGACTCATGAACACCGGGAAAAGACTCACCTCACACTTGCCGAATCACACAGACGATCCATGGCTGCTGGCTGACAGATCCCCGAACTGTCAATATCAAAACCATGCCCAATTAACAATTGGGCCCCAATCCCTAACCATAAATCCACACTCGAGGTAAAAAGACCAATTTACCCCTAACCTAGCTTGGTCCAAAACTAAGGCCCAAACTCACAATCTAAAAGGCCCAAATATAGCCTAATTTTCCAAATTGGGCCCAAACCCCTTACATGGGCCTTAACCTAAAGCCCAACCAATTTTCCTAGTCCAAAACACTTGTACTCAGATGGCCCATTGAGAACTCAAACACCCAAGCCCAAACAGGAAGCCCAAAAGCCAAAATCCTCCTAATTGAGTATGTGGGGCATACTCAGCTGTACGCTAAGCGTACATGCAAATTGGATTGTACGCTGTGCGTACAGACTTGTACGCCCAACGTACTCCTATGTTAAGCCACAAATCCCATTAAGCACTTAATGCTCAAGATCAGGAGTCCAAACCACATATCTACTTCTTAAAGAACGTCTAGACCCATAAATTCATTGACTTGATGACTTTGCATGCCTCAAAAGAAGCCAACATCAACTTAAAGCATTAAACTTTCACCAAATGGACACCATCTCATCCATGGGGGATTCCAAACCCTAAAGGAGGCAACTTTATGCATCTAGAACCTCATAAACACCAAGAGTGGAAACTCATAGCTCCTGGAGTGGTACCAAACCACTAGATCTCATTATTGGGACCAAAATGAACCAAAAACTCATACCAAAAAGATCTAAGCTTACAATGAACAAGGTCAAAGATTTTTACCTTAAAAAAGATGGAAATGAAGCACCTAATCCAGATCCACAAGCTCTTCCTTGATCCACAACCTTGCACTAAACTCCATCTTCTTGGAAATGACCCAAAAACACCAAAATGATACTATGAGCTCAAAATCACAACCATGAGGGCTTAGAGACGATTTCTAGGGTTTTGGGGACTTGGAGGCTTGTAAAGGACCCAACCAAAAAGACTTAATGAAATTATATAGGGTTCACATCTGAAAATTAGGGTTTTCCTTTAACCCTCGTACGCCTCCGCGTACTCCTCGTACGCCCAGCGTTCGAGGTCCCGCAACCCCGATCTGACCCTCGCAGTATGGTAAGCGTACACAACATTACGCCCAGCATAACACCCCTCGCATCAGTACGTTGTGCGTACTCCCTAGGTACGCCCCACGTACTAGGGTTTCCTCTTAAACCCTTAATCACTCCAAAAACCATAACTTCTTCGTTATAAACCCGATTCCGACGATCCTTATATCTATGAAAAGGTAACGAGAAGCTCTACACTTTAATCAACCCATACCTACCTTACCATTTCCCGAGAAAACCTCCAGTTTCCATAAAAGCCCGCATTGACAAATTACCGAAATACCCTTTGACTCCAAGACACAAACCGAATACCCGGAACAACCGAATTACATATCCAACTCCAACTGAGTCCAAATCTCAATTCTTCAAGGGTCCTAAGCCTGCTAATATCAAATCCTTGATCACCACTCTGAGATGGAAACGATCAGAAACAGGCGTTATAATCTATCTTAACTTTTTTCACACAATTTTAATTTCAATTATCTTCAAAAAAAAATTATGGATCCTTTCGACTCGTCCGACGATGATGGTGACGATATATTCTTCAATATGATGTATCAGTACTACACTAACGGGATGTTAACACCAGACTCAGCCCCGCTACTCACAAGACGTGCGATGTTAAATAGAGATCGTGAAGCTGGAGTCGAACGTCTATATCGAGATTACTTTGCAGGAAATTGTGTGTACGGGTCTGATGAGTTCAAAAAAAGATTTCGTTTGAGGAAGAATGTGTTCATACGTATCGCCAACACCTTGGAAAGCAGGTATATTTTGTTTAACTTTAATACTTATTTATCACAAAATAAATACAAAATTTTACATTATATACATGTTAGGTATGAATTTTTTCAATTGAGATATGATGGTAGAGGTAGGCGAGGGTTTACAACGTTGCAGAAATGTTCTGCGGCAATTCGTTTGATGGTTATGGGGGAGTCACCCGATACCATAGACGATTATATGAGAATGTCCGAAAGAACTGCAAGTGAGAGTTTGTAAAAATTGTCAAGAGGTGTTGTTGAAACATTTGGAGACGTATATTTGCAGAAACATTCGTTGCATATTATGTATTATTTTTGTGTTGTAATGATTTTTTTTTTTTAATTTGGATGTTAGGACTAAATTTAGTCCTATGAATTTTCTAGTTTTTATATATTATGTTTTATAAAAATATATTTGTTTTAATTTAAAAAAAAACTCAAAAAAAATAAAAAGAAATTATGACATGGGAAATTAATAGGTGTTATAACATGCTTTTAACATGGTGATTATTTCCTTATTTGGTGTTATAACACTATTACTTATGTGGTATGTGAGATGTCATCAACTTGGTGTTACATCCAATGTTTTAAAAACCGGTTTGAATCGGCCGGTCGAACCGGTTGGACCGGGAACCGGGAAAGCGAACGGTTTAACTAACACCGGTTTTATGTCTATTTTTTAACCGAAATGAACCGGCCGATTTTTATAAAAACCCGGTTGAGCTGATTAAAATTTAACCGGTTGAACCGGTTAAATTTAATAAAAACACATGGATTGATGTAAATCTTATGATTATGTGATTTTTTAATGTATTTGGATTGATTTACGAGTTGTTTTATGTGTATTTTTAATGTTTAAAATTATGGACGTCTAATTCTTGATTTATGTATATATGTAGTATGTATGTGTGTGTAGGAAAATAGAAAAAAAAAATGAAAATTATAGTAACCGGTTCACCCGGCGGTCGAACCGGAAACCGGTCACCATACCGGTTCAACTAAAAAACCGATTTTTAAAACATTGGTTACATCTAATTGCCCACACCTAATATTCTAATAATCGATTTCTTCCCATTTACATCTAGAATTTGACGTTATCAACAAAAAGTCGTCAATAAGGGGCATTTGTGTCCTTTGGACATAATACATATTTCTGAGGTTCCTCAACGGAAGACGTTTCTTCTTTATTAATATCTCTCGGTGGTATAGAGCACGCGAAGATACCATGAAATAAACATGCAAAATTACTTGTGATATGCAATAATCAAGCCCAAGTCCTAAGAAGTTAGAATAACAAAAAAGTCAATTTACATCCAGAACGAAGAAACCATTCACGTTAACTAGTTGAAATAAATGTAGTTTTTCAAGCCGAGATATTTTGGAGACCTTGAGTGAAAATAATATTGAGACCCCATAAAAAATAATCTTGTATTATATTATTAACTAAATTTCATAATGTTTTAAATTCAAGACTTAAAAGTTGACAACATACATCTCATAAATTTCCATACTTAGCACCACATTCGGGTCTTCATTCATTATTAATAAACTAAAATTGTTACAGGCAACTTTCCGGAAGAAGATAAACAACCAAAATATTATAATTTTCTAAACACCGATCTTTTAATATTTTTAGAAGCAAATTAATCCATTATATTTTCATAATCTATATTCTTAAGAAACTTTTTCAATCGAAATCAAAGCCAAAACGTTCAATCTATCTCTTAAGAGTTTAGACATGATAGATCACAAACACTATTTAAAAAGGTTTAGATTTGAAAAACTTCTTTTCGCTAATGCAATTGTAATGAGAACACTCAACAATATTATACATTGTTTGAGATTGTAGCTGTATTCTAAAGATATTTAATTTAGCCAATATATGATATCATATAACCATACATCCGATAAAGTCAAATCTTTCAAATTCATACTCTGCTAGACACATAGCTTCACTTTTGATCTTTATATTTATCTTTTTATCAACAAGCTTATGCAAAACACTCTTTAGGGAGCTTAAGTCAAGTCTTTCAAGTTTATATTTTGTTTGTATTATTTCTTCGATTACACACGTTTACTCGTCGAACTACTTCAATTATAAATGTTGATTGGCCTTGAAAAGTTAATCATAAAATGCAAGAGCGGTGGTATGTGATTGTGATTCTCTCTTGATTCATGTTGTAACCACAAAAATGAAACCAGGATCATGTATTTATTTATTTAACCCTAATACCCAAATGCAATTTTTTTAGACGAGTTAGGCTTTGAACCTTTAGTGTTGTAGACATATAAATATCTTTATATTGGTATGTAAATCCTAACTTAACAAATATGGTTTTTATTGTTTATAAAACATGAAGGAGATTAGTAGCATGCAAATATGCTTAAATTGATGTATTTTTTTTCTTTCTATTTTTTTAGTATTGTAATATTAAAGAAAAATTTGGACCGGAGACCACTTACGATTGGAGGCCCCTTTCAAATTGACAAAAAACACAAATAGAAATATCACCTCCCCAATATTTAAATGGTTTGACCAAAAACTCTATTGCAATAAGCTCCAAAATTAAATTGATTTATGTACGCCAAACACAACCCTTTATAAAATTCAACTATATATTCCAAAAACAAAAATCCGCAAGTTAAGTACATTCTAAACAAATGAACTTACAAACTATCCATTTACAAGAAGAAACCATACATATTGATTAGTAGAAATAAATGTTCTTTACAATAGAATGAACAAAAGAACTAATAACTAATGGTAAAATCTTTCCTTTTACTTACATTTCTAGATCATATATTTCTTTTATCAAACGAAAATTCTTTAGGAACTCCTATAGTCACCTCATGTTGTTGATCATTAGCACCCGTGTCAACAACTATTGCCAATTGTGACGAACTTGAATCATGGATCTCATTACCTTGCTCTCTATTCCCCAATTCCATCTCATGTGGCACTATCGACATTTCATTAACCCGTCGTTGATGATAGGAGGGTGAAGGTGAACCATCAGTGTCCCAATTATCACTATCAAAGTTTGTAGTTCGAGGAGATGGTGGAAAGCTATCAATATCAGTTCGGTAGTTTTGTAAGAGATGAACAGGCGACATGCCATGGGTTGGTGTTCCAGGCCTACTTGACATCGGAGTCACTTGGCCTGACTTTTTATTTCTTTTAATTTGTTTCCTTGCAGATTGGTGCCATGTTTTTAACGCGGTTGCTACTCTTTCATTGAATATTGTTGGCTTCATAGTCGATCCCATCTATTTTATTTTGTAACAAAAATAGAGATAAAAAATTAATACATGTCTTAATAGATTGTTTACTTCATTTTGTAAAATTTAAAGTTATTATTACCTGTGTGACAAGAGCATATAGAGGAAGAGTAACGTAACTGCATAGGATCTGAACAAGTATCCTAGCGAATCAAAAACACCAATAATTAATAGCCAATAATTGATAATGATGGTCTTTTTGTCTTTCACTATATTTTATTTAGAGAAAACAAAATCCATACTCAGTTACTCACCCCATTGAGATTCTGATGACAATGTCTTCCGTATGTTCATGAAAGCAAGATTTTAACCCAAATTCATACTGTTTAAATTTACAAATAACAATATGTCAAAATCAGAACAATATATATAGATAATTTTAGAAGAGAAATAATATTGATGCTACAAGTTATAAATCTTACCCAAGTCCATGCAAAGAAAGCTATCTGGAAAGCATTCTGTAACATTCATAAAATAAAATGATTTAGTATAAATGTTATGTATATGGAACGAAAAAGTACAACTTTTGAAGCATGAGGTACGAGTATTAATGCATGTCTATACTAGGTTACCTGAAAGAGGACAAAGTTGATGAGATAGAGAATGAGACGAGGGCGATTGAACCAGAAGAGGTCATCACCAGGTTGAACCACAGGTACACCTTGTACGACCTCTCCTCTTTCTTGGATACTTAATCCCATTTTCGTAATTATCACTTGTAGTTTTGTTCCAACTAGTAGAATAATCTGTAAATTATTATTTTTAAAAGTCAAATAAAGGAAATATAAAAATTCAAAGTAGGTAGTTTAATACTTTAATTAATCTTTATTGAATTGTATATACTTACAACCAATGGTATGAATGGTAGCCACAAATAGGAATACAGCCCTGTCGAAAAGAAATAAAATATTAGATTTTGTCAATAATTTGACCAAAATTAAGTATTATTAGAAAGAGTTGAATCTTATTAATTTCAATTATTTCTAGATTGCAATAAAAAGAATTAAAACAAAATTTGATTTGAAATAAAAATTTTTTTTGCAATAAACGGCTAAACGCACCATGGGTATTAAAGAGCAAGAAGACAATGGCGAATAACCAAATCGGTGGACTGTTGAGAAAAATAAGATAAATAATTAAATTTTGTACTTTCAGTAATTAAATATAAAAAATATATTGTTACATAGTAAAATTAATAAAAAAAAAAATTTACCTTATACCCACAACGACCTTGAAATCTTCTTCAAGAGATCTATTGATGTATTTCTGAAAGTCGAATCCTGATTGGCTTTGTGGGGCTAGATGTGCCTAAACTCAATATTGAAGCATGTTAACTTGGCGAAAGTTACAATAATAATTTAAAATTAATTTTGTTTTTAATTAAATTTAATACAATTGATTTTTCAAAATATGATTATCCTTTCTAATAAATAAAGATTTTTTTATCACTTGTTACATTCACATTTAATTTGTCAAATGTCATTTGGTGGTTATTTTGAATTGCTTTTTTTTCCACGTGTCGTTTATTAATTTATTTTATTTTATTAAATTCCACATATTAATGTAATATTTGCAATAAATGTAATAATAAATGGATATCAATTTCATTAATGAACTTACCTTTTTAATTTCAAAATTTTTAAAATTAAAGCTCATTAGTTTCTTTTATTTATTTAAATTATTTGTTTAAATTCAAAAGATAAAAAATATTTTTATAATAATAATTCATTATTTTTTTATTTTTTTTACATATTCAAAGTTCTCAAATATTTTGATTTTTATATTAATTTTGTTTTTAAAATTAACTCATATAGTATATGGGTCTCACAACTGGTTTTTTAATAATATTACATGATATGCTACATTAAAACTTAATAAAAAAATTTACCATGATGAATCCATGTCTCAATGTGAGATAATCAACTTTAGGGACCGATCGAAAAAATTGTCTGAAAAAACAAACCTGAAATTATAAAATGAAACAATTAGCATAAATGAATAAAATAAAAATGAAAATGGTAAACATTTAGCCTTCTATAGATAAATATTCACATCTAATTAAGTAATCATCAAATGTTATTTCCCAACTTATATTAAGATTGACAAATAGTTTTTAAATTAAATGGAAACAAAGAATTGTAGTTATTCAAAAATTATTAGTATGTCATTATGTCATAGCATAATCTAGAATTTGTAACCAAATATCATATATGAATATGTTCTTTAAATTTGTAAAATCAATTGAACTCTTTCCCCTTAAGTAACGGTTTGTGAAGCAATCATTTATTGAATCCAAAAGTGACAAGTGTACCTTGTAGACGTAATTAATACCGAATGACTTTAAAAGACACTTAATTACAAGGAAATTGACATTTAATTTCTTGTTGTTTTAGAAGTCTTTTAAAGATAGGGGGTCGTTAACGCAATTGACTTCCTATTTCCTCATTTATACAACGAAAATTATATTAAATTAGCAACGATACATTTTTTTTTGGAAACGAAGCAACGATACATAATAAATAGGATAGTGATTTACACAACACTTTTTAGCCGTTTATAACAAATTCTGTTTTATATAGTTATACAGTACAATCATCTAAAATATAAACTTTTGTGTATGATTAAAAAGTATTGTGTATAAATCACAACCCTAATAAATATGACTTAAATCTTTGTTAAATCATTTAATCTTCTATACGGCATTTTTGTAATTAACATCTTATTTTAGAACATAACCAATAAATACGCCCATGAAAAATACATGTCGTTTCATAGTTCAAATTAAACCAAAATTATATGTTTAAAATATACCATACTTTATAGACCGATGTTATCTTATGTTGTCTTCTATAAGTATCACATGTTTAGGTCTTTGATAATTAGTTTAATCAATTTAATTTCATGTTTTTATTTTCATTTATGGATCTTGTTGTCATGCATAATGTATTTGCCAACTAAGACAATATTATAGACAAAAAGTGATATAAATTAACAAAAACTATTACATATTCAAAGACGAAAGACTTACAATCCATAGTAGAATCGGAGACTTGCTCCAGAAATTTAGATGTCTTCTTCCGAACGATGTGTCTCTTGCAAATCTAAACCTCTCTGGATCTGTTAGCATGCAAATAAGTCATTATATATATATATATATATATAGATATATATATATAGATATATATATATATATATATATATATATATATATATATATATATATATATATATATAGGTTCAGGTTCATTTGAGATCATTATAATTTTGTGAGACCGTAAGACCAAATTAAAAAATAATTTTAAAATGCAAAATAAATGGAAAAATCCAAAAATTCTTTTTTTAAATATTATTTTCGGAACTTGAATTAACTAAAAAATAATAAAAAATAAAATAAAAAAAATCCCGCTTTTTTTGAAAAATACGTGAAATATTCTAATAGAATATTACACTGACATATTCTAAAAAATAATTTTAAAATGCAAAATAAATGGAAAAATCTAAAAATTCTTTTTTTAAATATTATTTTCGTAACTTGAACTAACTAAAAAAAATAAAAATAAAAATAAAAAAAAATCCCATTAAAAAAATACGTGAAATATTCTAATATAAATATTACACTGTACATATTCTAAAAAATAATTTTAAAATGCAAAATAAATGGAAAAATCCAAAAATTCTTTTTTTAAATATTATTTTCGGAACTTGAATTAACTAAAAAAAATAAAAAATGCGTCTCACGGTCTCACAAAATTAGGCCGTCTCACATGAACCTAACCCTATATATATATATATATATATATATATATATATATATATATATATATATATATATATATATATATATATATATATATATATGCATGGGTGTATTTATATATGTATGTGTAAATTAGTGTAAATCATGCACATGCACAGACTTGTAACATAATTTATACAATTAAATATAATTGTGGACGTCAATCTACATGTGCAAATAACAATTTGGATTTAAAAACGAGCTCTGTTCGTGAACTTTCCTTAAATGGAGAGAAATAGTCATCAGTTTTTAATTGTATTACGTAAAAGATATATAATGCTATTTCTATTTCAATTGTTTTAATTATAAAATCTTCATGACAATTATTTTCATCTCTTATTGAATAACTTGTAGATATTATCACATGGTAAAAAAGATTGAACTAAATTGGAATATGTTATTTTAAATCTAACAATATATAAACTGTAATACAGTTTATCCTACACATACCATGAGAAAATTGATACTCTACGGTTTTTGTCTCCTTCTCCCAATGCTTCCATCTTCTCATCTATACATATATTAAATTACGGCATAAAATATCACCAATTCTTCATAATATGTGAAGATTAATTTTGACAAATTACTTATTGAATAAAGTAATTAGGTGAAATTAACCAAATTTACCTTTGCTTGTCCTAAAGCCATGGTAAGGATACAGTAAATAACATGAAATAAGGCAAGAGCGAAGATGAATATATGAAGTTGATGAACCCCATCATACGACATAAAAGAAACTTTTCCCTGAAAATATATCCAAATATTGAACACTTTAGAAATAATTATCAAAATAAATAGACAAAAAAGTAAACTTTTATAAGGTAATAATCAGACGTTATACTAATCAAATAGATGGAATTTCTTTCGTAACTAAGAAACCATGAGAAAAAACCGTTTTCATAGCTTGTTGAAAAAAAGTACAAATTGTTTGAAAACCGTACATTCTACATATATAATGTTATTTTATTTCTTAAAAATCAAATACAGTTATTCAAACTAAAATATTAATAAATAATTTCAAGTTTGATTAGGATAAAAAGTGACAAAACGTTTTTTTGATATTTTATGCGAGAAATGACATACCTCTGCACACTTGTCATCGCCGCCACTACCAGCTAAGATTCGCCGTGTGCTGTCGCCCATTTTTGACCAAGTGAGCAGCCTCCGGCGGCTCTCTCCGCTGTCGCCGGCGGATTCCTCTTCTTCTCGGCTGCACGGATGCCAAGAATTGGCAGCTCCCTCCGATATACAAATCTTTGTAATTGGTGTCGTCCCCGCCGTTAACAGCAGCGATATGAATCCCAACAACATAAGCTCTACGGATTAAAACCCACAAATTAACACAAAAAACATAATGATCGAAACACTAAACTTAACCACTAGTTTCATCACTGATAAATAAATACCTGCTTTAATCTTTTCCAAGGATTCATATAGAGCTTTCTTTCGTTTCTTCTTGAACCACTACAAATTAAAAGCTCAAAACGATTAAACTCACAGTACTTGAAGCTTTAAAAATTTTCGTTAAAGAGTAGTTATTTATACATACATGTCCGATCATATGGATGATTTGTTCGATAAAAATGGAGATGAGAATGAGTACGAAGCAAACGGTGGCAACCGCCCATGTCGGCGTTTGCTCTAAAGATCTGCCGTCAGTTCCTCCGGCCATCGAGTTCTTGTATTTTCGACTTTACTCGTACGAAATTACTGCGAGAATTAAAAGTGACGTAGGGGGATGGGTTGGTTGATTATAAATCTTTATATCTTTGTTTGCTGTTTGAATTAGATTTATAGGGATTCAGAGCTGCGAAATATGACGAAAGTGAGGAGTCAAAAAGTTGACTTTTTCGTATAGACGCGTGTGTGAGAGATTGGAAGACCGAATCACCTTTTTTATAATTTTATGAAACTGGAAATACTTTGTTGACTCGAACCATGCATGGGTGATTTCGTGGTTCTCATTGGTTCTCTAGCTTTTCTAATCTTGGTTTAATATTCACTTTTACCGTCTAGGAAAATTAAAAAAAAGAAAAAAAAAAGGGGGGGGGGGGGGTATCAACTTAAAATGACTATTTTACCCCTTATATAAAATTTTAATTAATTAAAAATAAAAAAAATTACCCAGCCACCCACCCCTCTCTCTCTCTCTCTATCTCTATGTGCTTTTGTTTTCAAGAAAACACACATTCACACACACACTCAAGAACATACAACCCTTAGCTGCCACCATCACAACCAATTGATACCACCGTACACCACCATTCGCCGCCAACCACCACCATCTGTCGCCCACCCATCCACCTTATCTCTCTCTCTCTCTCCCTCCGCCTGCCAGAAAACTCCTATTTTCCCCACGTATCTCTCTCGTCGGAAACACGTGCTCACATCGAACCAAGGGGTGCTCAAACCCAAATGGAATCACCCACCAAAAATCGTTGCCAGGTGGGTGACGTGCTAAATGAACCGAGTCAACAGAGACGACGAGAGACATTAAACCCAAATCGGATCACCTACCGGACATGGAGCCTTCGGTGGTGGAAGATCGGTTGTACAAGAGGACAAAAAACTCTGAAAACGACTTTAGATCCACCATCCTCTCTCCCTGTCTCGCCTGAAACAACCACATTCATCACCTCCACAGCCTCCATCGCCATCTGTTTCAGCCTCATGCACCACCATAGAGAAACACCTCCGCGATCCCCCTACTGTAACATCCCGACTCCTAGGTATAATTTTCGAAAGCTTTATATTCATTTTATTGAGGAAACTCGACAAGTTGGAGGCCCCAACTCGCCATGTCGAACCTAGTTAGCCCGCATGGTTTATGACTCCTACTCGACGAGTCGGAGGATCCCTACTCGACGAGTAGAGGTTGTGCATGGAAACCCTAAATTTTATGGTTTACACCGTATTTAAAGGACCTTAAGTCCTTTCCTCCAGCCCCTTACCACCTTTTGAAGGCCAGAAGAAACCCTAATCGGTCTAAACCCTATTCTTGAGTGTGTAAGAGGCTAAAGTGTGTTTTTGGGCATTTTTCGAAGAAGCTTGGAGTTTTAGAAGCTTGGAACAAGAAGAAGCCTGTAGATCCAGTGTCTACATTGTCTTGGCTTGCATTTGAAGGTAAAAAGCCTTTACCTTGGACTTCCATTTGTTAAATCTCTTCTTATGTGAGAAAATGGGCATTTTGGTGCAAAAATGGAGTCACTTTCGGATTTGAGCTTGTCAAAAGGGCATAGTTTCATATCTGGACTCCTCTAGGCCCTTATGAACATAAAGCCTCAAGCTTTATGAAGCTTTGGCCCTCATTCATGTCCAAAACCTCCTTCTAATGCTAGTTATAAGTGTTTTAGCTTCATGGAGCCTTACATGCACGTAAAGTTAGCAACTTTACGTGATAACAACACCTTAGGAGCCTAGATCTACAGTTTGGAGTTTTGGTTTCACGTAAAATCATCTAAATGAGAAATGGACTGAAGGAACTCGACGAGTTACATGGTCAACTCGACGAGTCGAATGAAGATTGGCCGTTTTTGGTTTCTGCATGGACTCGGTGAGTCAGTGAGATGACTCGACAAGTTAGTTAGGGTTTTCCCGATGACACCACATGGACTCGACGAGTTGTCTGGAAATTCGGCGAGTCGACTAGGGTTTTCACGGCTTCTTGAGTTCTGAAGGAACTCGACGAGTCAGTTAGCTACACTCGACGAGTTGGGTCAACATTGACTGTTGACCTTGACCGTTGACTTTGACTTTGACCAAGGGTTGACCAATTTGACTTCTGGGGGTATTTTAGTAAATTGGAAATTTATGGAAGTGGATTATTGGTGGATGTAGGTGTTTCAATTTGGAGCTGTATTTGGGGAGTTTGACATTATCACCCCGAGCTACTTGTGAGGTGAGTTGTCCTCACTATACTAACAGGGTCGAAGGCACCAATGCCGACCCTTTTCAGATTCGTATCCGGGTTTATTGCATGATGCTATCTTAGTGACCGGTTAGGTCGGTATCCTGGTATATAGGATAATGTTATATTAGGGATCTGTTAGATCGGTATCCTGGTATATAGGATAATGATATGTTAGTGATCTGTTAGATCGGTATCCTGGTTATAGGATGATGCTATGTTAGTGATCTGTTAGATCTGTATGACTATCTGTACATGCTAACTAATGTATGATATTTATGTGCACATGATTGCTTGATTGGGGGTTGGGGTGAGGCGGTCATGCTTTGTGCTTGTGCCAACATACCCAGGGCGGACCGGATAGACTGCAGACCCGGTTAGGGCATACTAGTCAGGTTGAAGGTCCGGCGAGCGGTTCAGATAGGCTGAAGGCCCTGAGAGGCGGTCCAGATGTGTTGATGGCTCGGAGAGCGGTCCAGATAGACTGATGGCGCTGCGAGGTGGTCCAGTCAGGTTGATGGCTCATTATGCATGTTGTTTTCTATGATATGGTTATATTTGTAAGGCGTTGGTATTTTGGGGGAAACTCACTAAGCTTCGGGCTTACAGTTGTTGATTATGTTTCAAGTACTTCTGATGATCGCGGGAAGGCGAAGGCGTGATCGTGCACCTACTTAAGTTTTTATGATTTGATTCTGGGATACTTTGACATGAAACCATTTTGAAAACAAATTTGTAATAATTATTGGTTTTTGAATGATTTAAAAAGTTTTAAATTGGCTTGAATTTTATGGGTGTTACAAGTTGGTATCAGAGCCTTGGGTTGAGTGAATTGGAGGAACACTCGTGTGTATCCAGTCTCAAACTAAGGACAAGATTTTAAAATGATTTTTCTAAATGGTTTTCAAAGTACTAAAGGAGGATGCAAGTGTACAATCAGTCGGAGCCAGTAAGTAAACCCCAAAATACCATTCAGTTATTTGATATTGTGATATGTTAGAACAGCATGCTAGAGATAGGCTAGGGATCTTCAGGAATTGCATGATAGAATTGTATGATTATACGATGCCTGATAGCCTAGGGTTTTCCTTATATGAAATTGACATCATTATTGTAGTTGCTTAGTGTATGCATCACGGTTATTCATAATTAAGATCTTATAGCCTGAGAATGTTCGGTTTAGCCTTTTTTCCTGTTCTTGTTTAATGAAGGGCTTAGGGTAGGATCAAATATTCGAAAGTCTATAGGGTCCAACATTATGTATGACTAGCATACACTAGTGCTGCAGGGTTGGTGGAAGTTTCATGGGTAAGTTGTGCGGGGTCAGTCGGCCAGTTACGAGATATTTAGCCTTCCTCTAGGAGTGAGGATTGAGAGCTCGCCATGCATATGTATATTGTTAGGGTGTTGTGATGATACTTGATGCAAATATGGATAGGTGTGGAAGGTAATATGGGCCCGTACTACTGAAAGCACAAGACCCATACGCACAGCAAGGAAGTCACAACCCCTAGGGTTTAGTTGGGAGTTGGTTCCCCGTTGTTTATGCGGATTATCAGATATCTTCCTGGTATATTTTCAGTATGGTGGTTACGAGGCGATTTGAGACCGGATCCGGGTCAGGGTCGGGAGCTGGCAGCCAGGATAGGTCGGCGTTGACAGAGGATCGTGTCAGGGAGATCATCCGCGAGGAGGTGGTCGAGATTGTACGGGGTTAGATTACAGAGATGTTTGGGTCTATCAAGACCTCCATGATGGAGTATTTTGATGACAGATACGCAGCCACTGCTGAGACTGCGGCTGCTGCAGCCTCTGCAGCTGTGGCGGCTGCGGGTACGGGGACAGGGATGTAGCCATGAGGTGGATGTCAGTAGCCGGACTTCGATAACACAAAGCCCCCAAATTTTGATGGGGTTCAAGACCCAATTGTAGCCATGAGGTGGCTTTCAGATGTGGAGGGATGTTTCTTCACATGTTCATGTCCTACTGACCAGAAGGTCAGATGTGCCCTGAACCTGCTGAGGTCTGGGGCAAAGGACTGGTGGAGGTTGATGACGCGGTCGTATACAGATGATCAGAGAGTTGCGGTTACTCGGGAGCAGTTCAGGGATATGTTTCGCACTCGCTACATTCCGCGGGTCAAGCGAGAGCAGTTAGCTCAGGAGTTCTTGGAGTTAAGACAGGATGCTGAGACGGTGACGAAGATCACCCATACATTCACTGAGAGGGCGATGTTTTTCCCGGAGTTTGCTTCCGAGAAGGCTCAGATGACACGTTATATGAGCATGCTCAAGACTGACATCCGTCAGTTTGTTGCCACCCAGCGTTGCGACACACTGTTGGAGTTTCAGGAGGCCGCTAGGCGGCGTGAGCTTGAGAGCGAGTTACAGTTACGGGAGCAGAGGCAGGCCCTGACGCAGTCACAGCCGGCGCCAAAGCGGTCTAAGAATGCTGATTCTAGGTCGGGAGGACAGCATGGCCACACTTGTGGCAAGTGCGGGAATGGTCCCTCAGGGGTTTGTAGATCTAGTAGTGTGTGCCGCAAATGCGGAAAGGAGGGACACTTTGCGAGGGATTGCCGCCAGCCGGCCCCGGTTCAGGATATGAGGATATGCTACCACTGCCATCAGGTTGGTCATGTGAAGACCAACTGTCCACAGCTCGCTGCCAGGCCGGTGCAGGCTCCAGCGCCAGCTACACTGAGGATTACTAACGGGGGTCGGGGTAGAGTAGAATCTCCAAAGGCTCGGGGACGCGCCTTCCAGCTTACAGCCAAGGAGGCCAGGACAACACTGGATGTGGTTGCTGGTATGTTTCTACCCTTTATCTTACTGATTATATCTATTTTATGCTTATGTGTTTGTACCTGAT